AATCAATGATTTTATATATATTGTATAATCAATTTCGCCGATGTAAATCGTGGTCTTTTTTCCGTTCGACTTCAGTGTTAACTAACATTCTGGAGACGTGCTTGCAAAGCTTGTTAGGCCTAAACAATCATGGTACACAGTTGTGGCAGGCTAAAGAAGACCTAACTTCTTTTATATATAGCGATCACCACGATGAGTCAGCTGGTAAACTTACGCTTGCGCATTGTAGATAACTACCATCCACTGATACTATACATGACGTTGGCCATGCATGGTTGATGCCTACTCAGCTGTGGGTTTAATAAATCAAAAACCAGGTCCAAATATCAATCGAAGCCGAGTCTCAGCCGCTTAGAAGTTATATAGTTGCTTCGTAGTCGTTACGAAGCCTCAAATGAATACTATAGGTGCTTTTTTTGTATATATATATATTATATATACAACATTTACGAACAGTCTGAACTCAAAAACAACTGTTTTACGAGTTTCTAATATAAATATGGAATAATCAGTGATTCGAAATGAATCAAATGAGCTTGACTGTAATTGGAATCTGTCTACATATGGAAAATAGGTATAGTTGTTAATCCTTTTTTTTAGGGTCGTTTCTAGGCGATCTCGGGACTCAATGGACATAAAAGCAACAATTTTAAATCCCTTAAAAAAAAAGTAGTGGTAATTATTCCGTGTGTTCGCATCCGACCTTTAATAGGTGAGCAGTATTGACGGCGTGGTATTAGTGGAACCAGGATACCTACAGGATCGGCGAGTGTTTGCCATGGTCGTATTGACGTTTCGTTATGGCCGAGAGGACGAAGAAGTGATGGGACTAAAGTTCTACACGGAAGCTATCCTCGACTACCGACAGGTAAGAGCAAAAAAACCAACTGGTAACCCTCGGATACAAAACGACCAAAATTACAGCCCTCCCTTTTTTTGCTACAAGCTAGAGAGGTGCTAAAAAATTCTCCGCACTTCCACGCAATGCATGTTGGCGCAACGTCGCCAGCGGTAAAGAGGTACCGGGGCTCCCGTAAATATTTATAGAAAGTGTAATCACTCAGGATCTAGCCAGAGCTTGACCATATTTATTCTCACAAATCAAATCAAGCTGCCCCGTAAATGTCAAATAAGGTGTTAATAATGAAAATAAACTAGTGCTCAATTAGCCGCCATCGCTGGGAAGATGTTGAATCAAAACTGCGTTGCCAAGAATCAGCTTCAGTTAACACACATCACTGAGACTAGTCCTCACCCAATATCACAAGGTTTTTTGTCTATAAAAAGATTTAGTACAGGTACTTATGTCTACCTAGTGGTTACCTCTTTTAATCATCTACTTATTGCCTAAACGAACTTATCTCAGGTATATCCCGAACCAGCGAATCAAACGACAATTGAAGAGCTTACGCCATTACAAGAGACCTTGATGCGCAAGTTGGGTACGGAAGCATACCCGCTTACCCTGCGCGTCTCTCCGAAGGCGCCTCCCAGCGTTCGCTTGCATCCTGCCAGACCTTACATCGGTAGTCCGCTTGGCGTCTCCTACGAGATCAAAGTGTTTATAAGTGAGTATCAGCTGGCAAAATCGGCGAAGCGCAAAACGTTTTATTGTTCGTTCTGTACTAGCCACAAGGCGTATCATGCGGATGTGTGGTCTCATATCTTGGCTATTATAATTGAATTACTTTTAAAAGTAAGAACATGCGTCCTAAAAAGTTTCCGCGCTGCCTCACCATCGAACCGGCCTGTGTGTTCGAACAACAGTGCAGGTTTCCAACTGAGGACCTTACTAGAGAGTCAGCTCAACAGCAGTCATCGAACACATCACCCCACCTGCAAAACAAATAAGAGGAAGCTCCGTTTTCTAAAAGCCCACACAAACACGCGATTATAGTAGCCCATCTACGAGAACCCTTAACGCTAATAACATTTATTGTTAAGTAAGGTTCTAAATATGTAGCAGGTAGTTGTTCGATCCCTCTGCTTCTCGAGTGCCGTCGATGATATACAGCCGTTCCAACATCCTTGCTATCCAAAAAGATAGCTAAAGGCAAGTTTCATCTGGAGTACTGTAGCTGTTGTCCATGAGCCTCTTGTATTTATCTACCTCATTCATGGGATTATGCGACTCTTCGACAAATGCTATGTTAAAAGTATATAGATTACAGAAACTTAGGTTACTTTTTCACTTTGAAACTTGGATCAAAACCTATTAGCGCACTTAACTTTCTGCTCTCGTCCGCGAGGCGTAGTTTGCCCATTTAATTATATACGCAGCTTTATCTATTCCCTGATGTTACGGAGTCTGTACGCTTTAGAATACAGGCATGCGCCCACCGATTGATACGATCCTATCGCGCAAAAACGAGCGATATCCTGCCGCTGGCGTTCCTTTCCGCATTTCCTTTGTTCTTGCTAGCAGCTAGCATTCCCGCTAGAACCAGTCAGAAATTCTGTCAACGAATAATGTCTGCGAATGATGTCTATAGAATAGAGTTTTTTGAGCATATTTCGAGTGATTAGTATACTCGCAGGTACTAGTGCGCAACATTCTATATGTATATCCTTTCATGCGAGAGACCATATTCAAACGGAACATATTGCCACTACGGAGGGTTCTAGATACGTAGGAAACCATCCCGTCACTTCCAGCATGAGAAGGTGGTCTTAAATTAAAACTACGTACAGACGTTTTGATGCTATCTGATAGTGATTCACGAAGGGGGATTGATGCGTTTGGGTTGCAAAGGAGCTAACGGCTTCAACTTTATCAAAACGCTTTCTGTTCGATAATTTTTTTTCGTCGTCAAACAAGGTAAATTAACGCTCGAAAGGTAAAAGCCAGCCCTGTCGTCGAAGGCTAGAACGTTAAGTAAATAATACTGAAATGCGAGTGCGTCTGCTGGGACAATATAACAGCAAGCATAACTTTTCGATTCGCTTTATTATGAATTTAATAAAAAAAATTTACTGTAAAAAGAACACGTCACTTCATTCGTGACGGATAAAATGTGTGCAGATGTGGATGAAGGATGAAGTTTAACCTACTAACCGTACTAATAACAACCGTGTAAAATGCGTCTATTTATACGTCTCAGCAGATGCTTATCGCGTCTGTATATTATACAATAGCTGTTGGCAGTATCCTCTTGTCGACTCTCGGCGTGAACACACATTGTTAATCCAATGCAGAACTATCCATGATATGCTGTGCGTCGACAAATTTGGCCTACATATGAGTAATTCATTATAGATTTTGGCTCCCTGCAGCACGATCAGACTCAGAAGAAAAACATTTCTTGAATAGTATGAAATCAAATTGCCCCGATAGATACCCAAGTGGACCGGATGCACTGCACGATTGAGGCACACACACACACACATATATGTATATGTAGAGTGGAGTAAAGTTACTTAATCCACTTACGTGTATAGAAATCCAGACCTGGGGACATACGTTCATGAAGAACTAGTTACATGGATCTAATGAGTTTTATTGAGACCCTGAAACCTTCCCCTTTATTAAGTTGCGCAGAAGGCAGTGTAGCGCTCCGACTGTGAATATACGTATTTTCTAGCATGGCTACTTAATTTTTTATTTTCTAAATTTACAGTATGCTTTTTTCTCGGCCAATTTTCCTAACAACACTTAAGCATGTACCAATGGAGGTAGCAAGCGTTTACGATTAGCGGTAGTAGCGACTCTGTCGACCGTATTATTTTTCCGTTTCGTTGCTTAGATAGCCTTTCCGATGTAAAACTATCATCTAAATACCTACTCCGGCCGCACTTTCGCAGCGTAGTCGCATTACATACGGCACAATCCTACCAACTACAACAACAATGTTCCCCCGTGGAGCCTTCGTTGTTCATACCATTGTCTATTTAGCTGAACCTAATGCCACTGCTACCCTCGTGTCAGTTCCTTTCTCCAGGAGAAACACAATTGGGCCTTGCCTACCACTTACTTCACGCTGTCGTTTTCATCTAGCGGTAGTATCTTAATCGGTGCACCCGAATTTTCTCCCCATATGAACTTTACGTTCGCCTGACAGATATCTTACGGCTGCGCATGAACCAGCGCGAACGATATCCTGTACGGGCCTGTGTATTGGTGAGGATACCGGCCCATAGATGATTTGCTTACACAGAAGGACATAAAAAAATATAGGCTTAGCAAGGGAAAGCCTAAGCTGGCATAAATTCCAAAGGAATTCAGTGACCTGAGAGTAGGACATCGAAAACTAGAGGAAAAATGGAAGCATGAATAGCGAGGACGGTTACAGTAGCTACTAAACTTCTCAAAACTCATGTAACCTTGAGCGTTTGTTTACAACTTGGAAGTACTGCAAAAAATATAGTATATTATTATAATGTTTGCCGTTATGCCTTTTTCTCTTCTGTCGCATATATATATATATATATATATATATAGATAAAATTCTATCGAGCCATTCGAGATTGATTAGTTGGAACGTTTTTCGATTGAGGGCTACTAAGAGGTGCATGAGAGTCCAAATCAACTGACCTCATCTTCTTTTACGTAGTTGTTCTGTCTGTATTATAGTCTTCATTACAGGCAACATAGCGTAGTTGCCAAAAATATTTAAAATTCATTATCTGCCTGGTAAAGTAAATTAATGGCCATGTTTTAACTTTGTCATTGTATACCTCAATGATGTTGGAGATTAAAAAACCCATATTGCTTAACCTAGACCTATGTTTGACGTCCTAACACCGTGTCGCCAAATTTTTATCCTACATTAAACTTAATATGTATGTGTCCACGTTTGTTATATGATTAATTGAATTGTTTCAGCGGACAAAAACAATGACAAACCCCATAAACGTAATATGGTTCGGATGTCATTGAAGACAGTTGAATATGCGCCGGAAACAACTGTTGGAATCATCCGAGATCCCATGTGTCGACCGCGGATATCTATTGTAAAGCATTTTATCCTCTCTTCAGGTCGTCTTGAGATACAGGCCGTGCTTGATAAGGTAATGATGATAATAATAATAAAGATACCCTAAGTAAAAACACGCTTCATATGTGAGCTTCATAAAAAGCATATGTGAGCAAATTCAGTCGGTAAAGCTATTTGAAAAACGTGCTCGGTACTCGTACGCCATATATATACTCCATCGCCATATATATATATTACTTCGTACTGCGAGCTCCCAGTACTCGACGGAGTATAGGTAACCTGACTAAAGCCTTCCGTCCTCTGAAACCAGTCACCTACAACGGGAAGAGTAGCCGTGTTGCTGTTAATCTATGGATACGTTGTTCCAGGGCAGCGTAAAAAGCACTTTTGTAAAATTAATAAATGAATCAACAGCGATAAATTATTGAAAATCGGTTATAGGATTTAAACTGCAATGGGCCGTCCAAGTAGGCCATTAAAAATCGACACAAGCATTTTCTTGTCTAAGGATTTCCGTAACGGCTGTTGGCTTTTTCTGATACTCCTGACAGGAGTGCTATCAGCAGGGTGAACCATTACACGTTCACGTTACGCTAAACAATTCTACGCGGACGAAAACAGTTCAACGGCTGAAGGTATCCGTGATACAACACGTAAACGTATGTATGTTTACGCACGGCCGCTTTAAAAACATCATCGGAACAGGTGAGTGCCCTGTATGCGGAGAATGTCCGCGTGTCAATTATATAGCAGCTAAATATTACAGCATATTTCATGTATGTGATAATTTTACTGAATTATATGCTACCCTACTCCTATAGATGGAATTCCTAGGGCGTGTATTTGCTTCGACCCGCAGTATTTGCCCAATGTAATCGCGAGACACAACCGAACCCTTCTTCTGATACTATTACCGCCATTTCAGGTGACAGCAGCGAAGGTGGCGCAGGCTCGAGTGCCGTCACGCCAATGAGCCGCGCTCAAAGGGACTTCGTCGTTGTTCTAGAGCGCTGCGAAAAGTTTCCCGTAGCCCTTGCTGTCGAAAGTGACTACGGACACGACGATCCGAGTCATTACAGGTAACAAACTTTCGGGAAGCAAGGTTATTAAAAGCTATTTTTCCGCTTAATAAAAAAAAGAACAAATTCCCGCTCCATCTTCTGTATTTCATTAGAGATTAGTACGATGATAATCCAATAAGTAGAGCTTTATGGAAGTACTACATGGGTATTTTTAGGTAAGGAACATTGTATTCTGTGATCAAATCATTTTGTCACTATTAGATTATTTTTGGAAGCCGACGCATTTCCAGGCAGATCAGATCCGAGACGTTGAGACACAACCTTCTAGCTTAATTTAGTACCCTGAAATAAAAGATGTGCCTGCTTATATCTTGAAGGTTTTCGAACCAGCTAATGTGCCACCTTGACCAGGTCGAATCACTACCTAAATATTCTTTGAGTTCAGCGTTTTTTTCTTAATCGCATATTGAACGATTCCTCTATTCGCGTTACCCTCATTGGAAACAGCCTTTCCTCCACGACGTCGCTTGTGGATCCGAAAGATAAAAATCCGTACGGAGTCAGCGTTCAGTATGAAGTAAAGATCAAGGCAATCCTCGGCTGGTTCGACCGTCACATCATCGTTAGAATACCTTTCAAGGTAAAGCCAATCTGTGTGAAGTTACTCAGATACCACTTCGTTCCTATAATCCAACGAGCAGTTGGCAACAAACGAACCAAGTTTTTAGTGACACCCACCAAATCCTCCTGAAAACCCTTTTACTTCTAATAGCTGTCCTCATGATCTTCCCATAGACCTTTTTTCAAGCATGTTTTATGCATTAAGCACATTCGAATATGTTTCGATGTCTCCTGACAGCTTATGTTTAATGAGAACGGATGAACACTGGTATAAGCACACTCACTAGCAATTGATACTATTATATAGGCTACGGTTATCTATACAGGCTACCTCCACAGCATCATACACTAACAAACAGACCGTAATATGGGAATAACATGTTCAATAATATGGAGATCACTTATCACTACATGTTAAAGTGAAATCGTTTTCTCAGAAAACCTTCCACTACCTGCCAAAAAGTTTATGACCTTATATGCGTTCAGTGATCCGCTTTTATGCGCTTTCCTCTCATTTACATCCGCTTTTTCCCGGTATCCCTTGACTTTTACGGCATTCTTACGGTAAAAATGTTTACTGTTGCTCATATACCGGCAGATCGTGGCCATTCGACCTAAGGACAGTCTCTCTACTGGACGATACCTTTCTTCCGAAGCCTCACAGACAGAACACCGAAGCGGATGCCAGAGTGACCGTAAGCTTAGCCAGCAGTTTCCTTGCGCTCTTCTCAACTCAGCCGAGTTCGTCTCGCAGGAACTCGACAACCGTAAAGTCAATGAGTCGCCATCACCCTCGCCATCACCTGAACCTGAATGCCAATCAATACGATCCCCGCATCCGAAGAACCAGAACACATTTACCGGCAGCTAGGAGTCACCTGTAGGCCGTATGCTGTCACAGGAAGGGAAAGTGAACGGCCATTCACAGCAGACGATTGCTGGATCGAGAGCCTTAAGATGATGTCCTTTGGTGTACCAAGATAATGTAAAGGTAGCGCGACAAAAAGGCAGTAGAGGATTAAGGGTGGTTCAAAAATGTAGTCCAGAAAACACATCACAATGAACGAGAAAGGGCGAACAGGCAGCAAGCCAATGTAGAACACTCTCCAGACACACTTTTCTAATAAAAAGAATAGTTATAAGAGCAGTAATATTGCTATGAACATACGGAAAGAGGGCAGTTTATAAACAACTATCCATTACGCCAATATCTGGGTTGCTTGCATTTGCTCTGAAGGAAGCCATGTACAGCTGATATGTTCCGTAGAACATAAAGAAAACGCTTTTCATTTCTGGTGATTATTTCATAATCCAAAACTCTCCGTAAAAAGCGCTTTACGAACCTCGAGAGAAGGGTGTTGGCACGATATATACAAAATGAGCTGTAGTGCTGTCGTTAACGTACAGACGCTGTCACGTACACGTATAGGACACACAGATCAGCTCCTTGCGCTTTAGTGCTACTTCCAGTTGATCGATGTTATCTCGAGCGAATTTGGCAGATGAAGTTCTGCTGTTACGAGAAGAAAACTTATCTAACTGACACGACCTTAGAGACGTAGAAGAAGATCTTCAGCAGTAGAATTGTTAGAGGACTCAATAAATAATACTAAAAACATTTGACGTATCAATAAAACGCATACATGCATAGACCCTATAGCTAGCTACGATATAACCAAAATCCAATGTGCTGAACATGATATGACAGTGTGTCATTCACAGGTGACACAATGTTCCCGCCTATATACAGTTTTTCTATGGAAGGCTCCTTATTAACTGTGCACACCTATAGGGCGCATAGATCTAAACATCAATCGTTCTACGTATCATTGCATCGTTACGGGCATTCAGAGACGCGACTGAATAGGAAACATGAAGCCGATAGACGTAGTCTGAATTTGGCAATCAAATGATGATTGTAAAATATGGTCAAATTTCATGACGACTCTCACCATAATGTCGATGTCACAACAGCTTCAAACCGACCATGTTACCCTCAGTCCGCCGCCAAGGTCCTATTGTATTAAACACAAAACGATTTAAAATCAGGTATAAGAAAGAGGTGTTATGCAGTAATATTTAGTGCGTATTACCTACCTGCAATCCTCAAGCTAAGGATAAAATTCGAGACATATCGCGCACATATATACACCTACCTTGTCGAAAACAGTTTGCAGGTGAGCGTTCCTGCATCCACCTTCCTTGTCAATGAGACACCTCATAGCGCATTAGATTGAAGATATCTTCGAGACTTCAGTTCGACTGCCAGAAGATCACTTTAACGTTACAGTAATCAATCTTTCTTTCTTGTATCATTCCTCTGCAACCATTTTCATCCGGCAACCGCGGCTTTTTTAACTTTGGCTTTTTTATAAAGAGACTGCATTGTCCACTGGCAACAATAGGTAAAATTCATTTTCTATGGTCGAATTGCTGGCAGATACTTTTACGTGCGACCCACTTTTACCAACACGAAATTGAGCAATGATATGTCAGGAAATTTGGCGGGCAAATTTCAAATCGGCCCGATAACAACATAATGAAAATGTCTTGAGCTATCCTGTATTTGGTAATACATAAACACGAATTTATATCTATCATCCAAACTTTCAACTTACAAATGAATTTATTTCGACTAGTGTCAAAGGAAAAATCGTCCAAAACCTGGAATTTACGTCATAAGTAAGCTTGTCTCAGTTTTTTATCCACTGCTCATGGAAGGTCATTGTGTTTCAGTTCCTGTAAAACGGTGCACGAGATGCTAAATGACAGTTTAGCTGTCAAAACGTTTATATCAAGTTATCAACAGAGCTCTCTGAAACTGGATCAACGCTAACTTCTAGATAGCACCAACTCTATAAACAGTAGCCCGCGTCTGCTTCTGCGGTTAGTGATTACGTTTGAATATAGCAGATAGTTTAACTTGAATGCAAACAATCTCATAGTTATACACAATAAAAAAATAAGAAGACGCCCGTGTGTAAGGCAAATTAATATTTTCCTTTGATTAGATATCTGCGAACTTTTAGATTTCTGTTTTCCAATTTGCCTACGTATCTAGCCGACGAAAACATGCTCGTCAATAATGTACGGAACTATTTTTACGCTGGATGCATTTTCCATTTACTGACCTTACGCTATACATCTGTGAGCGTTATTGTACGAACAAATTTTCGGAATCACCTATTGTTAGGTTGACTAATTGCTACCACAAGTGCTATCAGATGTAAGCTCCATTTAGCCTAACGAGATGGATGAATGAATGAAAACTTTCCCCTACTTCGTATGTACACATAAATGACTCGGGCTAAGGACCAGGTTTCTGGCCTTTACATTCGTAATCTGTTGCCTGCCGTTGGTAAGAGCAGCACTCGTCCGACCGTAACATACATTGTACCTAGCGAACCAAATGCACATACACGCAGGTATTTAGATAACAGCATAGCAATGGAAACCTTCACGAAGTCAAACAAATGCACGGAGTTGACTCATCGTAAATTAGGTAAAGTAGCCATGCTTCCTGCTGAGTGTAATGGCGCAAGCGGAAAACGGCAACGCATGAAGCCACTAAGCGTTTGTTTGGCGGGTTTCTCCGTCGTACATAACCACTACCTTCATCAGATAGACCTGTGCCACGGTTCGATGGATGTCCGTGTGTGTGACAGAAAGAAATTGATGCCGCTTTACGCTAGTCGATGGGTCACTATCGATGATGTCTTCGTCAGTCTGACCCAGTAAATTGATTGACGCCAACAAATCGATGAAACATTCACGCATTACTATACACTACTTCATTCGGAACGCTGCAAAGGTCACCCTACAGTTGCTTCCGTTGATAAACTCAAATCTGAATGGAAAGAAACACTAGAAAGAACCCAACAATAATAAAGTGTTCCACGCGTACTTGTGTTGACACAGCTCCATGATCGTGAGTATGGTTAGGAAAACGGTTAGGGAAGAGTTACGCTATTCAACGAGTAACCAAAGTAACACATAGATATTGTCCGTTGACCTTCCCAGCGCCACGTCAGGTCCTTATCAGTGTGCCTACAGGACAAATTCACGTGCTTGTAGTATGACGCTGAATTTCGCTGTAGACGTCACCTCCTCACACTGTCCGCATCAGTAACCCATGCGAGCCAAGAGCGAGCAGAATAGATGAACCCGTGTAGAAGCGTATGTTTCTTGGCAATACAATTGTTTCTTAATGGCAAAAGAACACTTGGAAATTTTATTTGAACGTCATTCTCCAAAAGGGAAATTGTTTACAGATTTGACTAACGCCTTTGACTGCCTGCAATATAGCCGGTGTAGCGTTTTTTCAACACGCAGGCGATTGACAGGGTGACCCAGAGTATTTGCCAGTGTCATGCTTCCTGTGATTTCTGCGGCCAACAAAGCCCACCGTTTTCGTACTGTTTTTGTGTCCAAGTGCGTTCTCATAGAGACACAGAGGGGCAGTTTATATAGATTGAAGTGAACTCTCTCACCTGACGGTGAAGTGAGGCTGGGTGACCAGCCAGCTACGTACAATCGATAACACTACCATTTAATCAAATACGCGGACGCTAATAAATATCACATATTCACACCCATACGAAGCTACCTCCGTGGCAACATCATGCTAACTAAATGAGCGTCGTCATTATTATGGGGCGCGGTAAATAATAACTATGATGAGAATTATAATTCATATAATAATTATTATTATTATTATTATTATTACAATTATTCTTACTATTATATGTATCTTTCTCTATTATCTTGTCATGGAAATAAAACATTTGCCCTATTTATAGTATGTGCTGAAGTTATCATTTTATACTATATAACAGAAGAATTAAATAGGTTGCGTAAAAATGCTAGCCCTAAATCTTAGGAGATGGACCAGCCCCTGGTGGCATGCGAAGCCGCCGAGCGGTTGGCTTCACAACTTACTTACTCGCAATCGCAATCTAAGCTTATAATTCGGCTGCAAAATAATCATTTGAGGTCGCGTTTTCTAGCTACACCAACCTATCCATCCAAAAGTAATAGAGAAGCAAGTATTTTAAACGTACACTTCTGAAGAATGAGTGCTTTCAAGCACATTAAAAGGATGCCAATGAATCGTGACTGATAAGACAGCGGACTTGGTCCTGAAGCAACTACCTATAAATAGACGTTCTGTCAGTCAGTGTTTCCAACGGTAGTCTCGTTAGCAAACTGTGCGACACCTGTTCTAGAAATGCTGACCGAAACGTTACCAAGAATACATTAAATATATAAGGATTTCGATTTCTTCAAAGGCCAGCTGGACGATTTTTTCATCAACTAAGGCTGAGAACAAGTATCATCGAAATGATGTACAAAAACAGCGATTTAAATCGTCTTTACCATCTTTCACAGAACACTGATGTGCTGTTACAAATTCGTGAACTTACTATATTTAATATATAGATATAAAATATGGCCCATTTTTTAACTGTCCGTATATCTTTATTATAGTCATTCGATAAGATAGTCTTGTCTGTCTCCTTACAGCGTCAACCTCGATGTGCTGAACGTTCTATGGCACAGATCCACTATGTACACAACCACCCGTCCCTACGCTCGACTTTCGTTCTCTCATACTATTTTTGTTTATGTTTCCTGACTTCTTGATTTTTTCCCTATGTACTTTTGGCTTGCCATCCGGCTAGCGGATGGCAGGCATAAGCACCACAAATAATTAAAATGACCTTACCCAGTAACGAACCATTTACACGCTACTACTCTATGGAACCGCTTACATCCCAGCAGTATCGTGTCCCTCCCGCAAGTAACCCGTTAGTTCTCTTTTCCAATGCCCGCTTTCAAACCCGTCGTTCACGTTGGTAGGCCGCCGCTGCCGCTACGTCATTTTACCGGCTCTTTATTTAACCCACTCTACCTAGGCCGATCCACACGACCCTACCTAAATATCACTCTACATCAATCACATCACTGGAACCGGGCCGTCGCCTCATCCAATTGTTGTTAAACAGCTCCGTCTGCTTTTTTTTTTTGTGTTCCAGAGGTCCACATACGCTTATAGAAGCAAGGGACGTTGTGATAACATTTGGTAGATACTTTCCGTAATTGTGTCAATAGTAAAACGTCGTGCGTTTAATAACCTGTTTGGAAATAGGGATAATGAACGACGTCTTGCTGACACCCTAATAGCTTCAGATGAATCGAAGTGGACAAGACGCTGACAGAGGAAACGGCTGTTTCGAGATAGTAGTTCGGCGAGCCAGAGTTTCAAATGTGTGCGCTTCGTATCTCGCTAGTAAGCAATCTAGAATCGAGAAAATATAACACCGAACTAAGACGGCAACAACAGCCTGATCTGAGCCGACGCTAAGTCTAACCATAAGAAAAATCGGTGTATATATATTGATATATACATAACATTTAACAAGTGTATCAACGAAATCATATGAATATGATACATGGTCACCCATGGTCGTCGCCGCACATATCGTTCACTGGTTATTGATTTTTCATGAATTTTGATCATTTCTGTTAGACAACACTAAACGAAAATATCTGCTTTCCATAAAATCACCCTCTCGTAAGTTATCACGCAGTACTCGTCTGCACCTTCAAGCGAACGTGAAACTCAGGTGGAACACGCATGAAAGAGCAAGTGTCTGTCTCGCATATGTTTTTTACTGCATTCTAACTTCGCATCTATCATATATATATATACAGATATACTTAAAATGTTTGCGCGCGCAAATTTCAAAATCCGTTATTTAGGCTACCGGCTGAAGCAACGATAAGCCCGATTCACTCGGTGTCGAGGAATCGTTTGATTTTCAATTAATCGTGATTTTCAGTCACCGAACGAATCAGAACCGAAAGGCAGTAGGCCCATCTGTGAAATATATCTCACATGACACTGTAAGGCAACAGTGCTATAATCTTACCTCTACCGTGTTAATTCTATGAATCGCCGTAGTTACATCTGTTGTCTCTCTCAGCACTTGATCAGCTCTGTTATGCTTGGGTCCTTCAGAATGAAAAACTCCTTCAAACATCGCCACTAGTCGGATTGGACATTTACCGCTCTTTGTCAGTATCATTGCCATCATCACTATAATCATGAATTTATTCAGAGGCTGCTATTTTTTTGCTTGTTTCAGGGCGAGTAGGCTATTTTTTTTGTACTTAAGAAACGGGTCTATTTCATGCCTCGCCGTCGCTGCTCGCCCTTGTGGCCTGATGGTCCTGTGTGATTTTCGATGTCACCTAAACATAAGAAATCACATATCTTGTTATGGTACGCTCCACCTTGTAGTCAGATTCATTTGTCGTCTTTTTCGTTCTATTCAATCCTAGCTTTCTTTCCGCTGATGCTGTAGGCGTATAACGCAGAGTAGGTTAAGGTACATGACCCAAGAGGGTTTTGCACGATGCCTGATCATTATTGATTTTTCGGCTGAGACTAATAAATGAAATAAGATTCTCGGTGTTACGATCTACGCCCGCAACTGATTCTACATATCTCTGAGGATCCTGGGAAAAAAATTTGCATATTTAGGGTAAACAGCTGCGTTCGGACGAAGTGTCTCTTTTGTTACTGGACCTGCACTCTGCGCCTAGGCGACAACCCACTACGTTTTTGTTATTGCGGTCTTTATATGCGGCTCAAGCACAGAAATCACTTCCCTATTCAAGCGTATTCGACATGGAATAGGAAGACCTATTCGCTATCGCCTGCCGGGAAATGGCTAGCTAGAATCCTAGATCAGAAACACACTGAAGCTCTGTTAGATTTACACAGAACCAAGTGCTCCAATGGAGGAACATGCAACGACGTAAGCTATATAGACCCGTTGTAGTTTTCGCGAACTCATTATTGACCATTTTATCAGCATCTACTTCAAAATGGTCGTAATATGTCAGTGGGCTGAGAATACGGAAGGCAAAAAGTGAACCTCAGCTGCTTAATATTAACGCACATACAACATTTGCGCGCTGTCACGATGTTATTTCATCAACGGTCATCACTTCGTTTTTCTTTAGCGGTCCGCTAATTGCTATATTCTATGTAACGACAACATATCTTTCAAACACATATTGCGCATTTATCGTTATCGTGAAGTTTTTGTCGTCTGTCTTCACCTCGATACGGCTTGCACACAGCGTTTCAGCATAAAGTCTGCTTTAAACAGCCATCTTCAAATTGCTACACGTTAATGTTCACGCTGCACTATCGATAACATACTGATTCGAAGCAACAACCCACATATTGGCATAGGTCCGTGAGCGTTCATTCGGTGTACATGTGTGTGCCTCGCAGACAAAAAAAAAGTGTGTCAGCCAGTGACATTCCTAGTCCTGTTATTATCCTCGTCATACCATGTGTTAGCTTCCGTCCACTGTTGCGTAACTTTGCCTTATATTTTATCTTTTATCTAATAGCATATTGGTCTGCGTTATTCTCCGAAGTATCTTTCATCACCCTTCGATCCGTTCCCGCTGGCAGTCCTCCGACCGTTTTCTCACTTCCGTTCTTAATTAGTTGGACTTTCTGTGCCACTAATTTCCTTAGTAGCCGTCACATGTTCGATGCTCAACATGTGCCGGGTTTCACGGGCAACATTTGATGAGATCCATGCTCGCGCAGTCAATAAGCGGACCCACATAGATTCGCATAGATTCGGTGGTCGCGTTGTGTTTCTATATTGTATCTCGCATGCGTCTCTCGACGCAGACATCCCACAGCGGCGCAGATCGATGAAGAAAATCATCACGGTCGTCATCGAGTTCTTCTACTACTGTATTCGACTGATGCATTCGGTCCTTTTGTATATTATCTCCGACCTTGAGTCTGCCTAGAGAGTTTGTCTAGGAAGCTTTGTGTGAAATATACATCTAGTTCATATAACCGATTTGTAACATCTTTCATCTATTTTTGAACATTCGTAGTTAATATCTCATCTATAGCTAACAATGGTCATCCATTGTAAGGACTTTTTTTGGCGTCAGCCATGACGGGCTTATCGACCTGGTCTCACCGCCTACAACGGATTAGTTTTCTGCTTCAGTTACGTCCATACTCTCCCCTTATAGATACGATGCCTATGGACATCAGTTTTGATAAAGTCTGGCATCATAGAGCTCTTTGCCTTTACAGAGTTTCCTCCTCGCTTGCATCCTCCCTCGCTCCCTTTTTGCCTACATATACATATATATATATATATATATATATATTCCGTTCCGCTCAGTCACACCTGAAATGTAGCATTTTCTTTTAAAGCGTCGCTTGCCGTCACGTATATAAATTGCCACATTCTAGAAGGACAGTGTACATTCAAGTAGTAATAAGACATGTGTCACAATCGTAGCAATGGTCGCGCTGATTCGTCACCACGAATACGTAGCGACCCCGGTCTATATGTTGCGCTCGGCTGGTCCTTCACGGCAGAACTATCGACGTCGCCTGCTTGAACTTATTCTCATGTCTACTCTGGAAGCATCGGTACTATTGCGAGGATTGGTGGTGAAAATTTCTCTATTCTAAGGCTGCCACTTGCTCTCTGGACCGTCGCAGAATTGGGGAGCTCCTCTCAGCTTTTCCGATCGGGGTTGATACCAGATGGTGACATCGCCCACGGCGTCCTCCTTTCTAATGAGTTGCGTTTAGACAATCGAACAAAACTTCATAATGATGCCAGCCCTTTCATGGTCCTTCGTAGTCGAATTCGGTACAACGAGACGGCTGGAAATATGCTCCAAGGCCTTATCTGATCCGCAACGGCACACGCGGCGGTGATGGTGCAACGACTAATACCAATTTCGAAGCCTTGGTCCCAGCATCTTTCAGCACGTGGCAGCGGTCAGTCGCTCGGATGTTCAGGGCACGACCGGTTGACGCGAAACCATGCGTCGATGCAACTAAAACGTAAGAGTAATCACAGGTGATAACGTTAGTTAGGAAGAAAATGTTGATCTCATAGATAGGCAAACGCCGTGATGCGGTACTTGATACTTTAGGTTATAACTATTCTGCAACTATATGCCGTTGAACTGCATATATATATTTCCTATATAAGATATTAAAAGAAAAACCTATATATATATATATATATATATATATATATATATATATATTCACTCAGAAAATTTTATCCAAACTGCGACTAATTTTCTTATAGCCAAATTAGTTTCATCCATTATTCTGAGCAGGAAAAAAGTCAGTCCTCTGTGAAACAAAACAGCGAACTAATCACTGACTGAGCAGAACATCGCTGAAATTAAGACTCGTTAATCCGAAATTAACAGTCGTTTTTAATGCAGCTTCTGGAAAATCAGAACGAGATTTGCGCGAAAAAAATGAAAAATTTCAATAGGCATTTGATTGAAAACGTCCGAAAATTTGTCAGCATTTTACATAAAGCTGTTTCTGCTAGGCCAAAATTTCTATTGCACCTTTTTAATTTTTGCTCATTTTGAATCTTTGTCTTTTGGTTGACTACTCACTAAAAAAATAGTCTTACTAAAAAAAAAGGTTATTCCTTCTCAGTTTTTTTTCTATGGGGTCTCGTTGCGCAACGCTTCAACGACTCTACTTTAGGGTTAGACGCACGCTTAGTTATTAAAAGTTTAACTGTGGCTTAGAGCAGGAATATTCTGAAAGTTACTAGTGGAAGCTTAAACTCTAAATAGGAATTGTAATTGAAGTGAATGAAGATCATATCCAACGGTGATAAGTGACAGGTGGAGGGGACACTTTTAACAAAATATGTGAAGAAATACGTTAAATGCCGGTTTTTGCTTAAATGCAATTATAAAAACAACTCATAAAAGGTCGCCAATATAAGTCGATCATTTTGTTTGTGTAAAGAGTATTCCAGGGGTCTATATTCACTTCGAAAAACAAATATATAATAATCATTTTCATATAAGATACCACATGGGGGTAAAAACACACCTCACTTCAACGGTAGTACTCTGTCTATCTTCACAAACGCCCAACGATATAATTTCCTATATGACTGAATGGGGTTCATTTACCTTCACATATAGATTCATGCACCCATACGTAGTTAAATTTGGATGTACATGAACTTTTGATTTAGAAATGGAAAAATAATTTTGGGGGTAAGGATTTACTCGCGTGACGTTAATAAAGATTCATCTAACCCGACGCAATAGTTTGTTTCTGCGACAGGTCAGTGTTGCAGCCGGTGCGCCCCGTTGCGTTGGGTCTTGGTTTGCTCTCGCATGGTACAACATGTACGTGCATGTTTCGTGTAAAATGACGGACACTTATTTATGGCATAAGAAAACACCAACAACTCAATACCTGTCAGCTATACGTTTCACACCACGGTGAGGACAGTAAGGAGGTGTTGTCGTTGGCGGGCGTATTTTAAAACGAAAAAGAACTTACATTTCCCAAATTTTTTTTTGTCTTTTTCCTGTTTTTTGCTCAGAGCGTAGAACTGAGCAAAAACTGCTTCTTTTTTTTTTTTTTCGAAATAACAATACCATAAATTTGCATTGCTTTTTAAATATAATGTACCCAAGAACAACAATCCAGACATTCGTTTTATCAATCACCTTTCGGATCTGTGGCCTATTACTGGCGTTGGCTGCCACGAAGTACTTCGTTATATTTACCTATGACGGTCTAAATGTATATCTCTGATAAACTACTGCCTGCTTCAGCGAGAAATCACATCACATCGCATCTTAAAGCAAAGTCTTAAATCCACATGCGCGAACCTCGCTTACCATATAAATGCATGCATGTGACCTCCCTTCAACCCTATCTCCTCTGCTCGCCGTTGCTCTAATAAGAACTGAGGTTGTAAGTATAAGTACATTAACGTTCCGTCAAATCGCCGTTAGGGCACTCCACAGTTTGGTTCGCCGCCTGCTTCGACTGCACCTCGTCGTCAAACGGCAGGACATCGTCTACTCATAGAAGCTATCCACACCCGCTTCAGTGTAGCGCTGTTACGGCAAGCACTGGACTTTTCCTCGTGTTGTATGACACACGGCTCAAGCGTAGTACGAGCTCGAAGGGGCTAGCGCAACGGATCTTGTAATTGGTCAGCCTTTCGAGCCCGACCCAAAGCTCTGCCCACTACGATTGCGGTCACCCCATTGCAGGTGAGATTGGCCCGACACTTTGTGGACGACCGCACAGCCGCAGTGGATGATTGACCTGTCGACCGAAGCGTGGTTTCGCTGCATTGTCATCTAATCGACAGAGAGAGATAACATCGACGCGGGTCTCTTGGGACAACGTATACGCAAAGTATACCACTCTCATACCTACGGTACCGTATAACGGACTTGGCTTTCAAATCTTTTTACGCAGTGTTCAGAAAACGTCGGGTGCTCCTCAGGGAACTGCCTACACATAATTTGACTCATCTCGCTGGGTTTCAGTATCAACGAATCTCAACGAATTTACCAGCGGAGTAAAGCCTTCTGTCGATGCCAATCCGCGCCGCCGGTTTAACGGAACGAGTCGTCGTTTAAAGGCCACAGAAATGTAGACCAAGGGGGGGGGGGGACCGTGAGATGATCGTAGAGATGGAACTCCGGCCAGATGTCAACCTCTTTGCTCAAAGCAGCGACTTTTGTCAGACAACCCTCGTTCGCTCAATTCTGTGTTCAACTATCGAAAGCGGAGAGCGGCGTCATTTCACGCACGCTCAGGTGGAGTCCAACGGAGTTCAAAATCGTGAAGTGATACGTCGAGCTAGGGACTGAAATTTCTATCGCCCTATCGGAAAACGCTCTCGTAGTAGAGTTTCAGCTCAGTTCGAGTATTCGCTAGTTACTAATAACCGATGCTGGCTGTTTCGAGGGCATTAAAATGGCTTGATTTCCGAGAAATCGAATTTTGTTGGCGTCGCCTTGTCATCGTCAGCCAGTCAGGAGCTGATATACTCTAAGAATTTCTCCGAATGCTATCTTGTGTTAGGAACAGTATACAAGCTTTTGTGTACTAGTATGCTGACTAGGTAAACCAGGTTGAGAGTATAATACAGACACACCCATTACTATGTATTATATAGGCAACAGTAACAAGAATAATACCAACTACGGACATTCGGACGCTTGTCAGGTATCTACCGAGAACCACGTCCGATTCTTCGTTCGGCCGCCTCGACGTTTGGTAACTCTGAAAATCGACTACTCCACTACGTCGAAAACACAAACCCATTACTTTGACCAATGCTCGTTCGCCTTCATTGGGCAGCAGTCCTTGATGCCACGCCCATATACCTCAATAGCCATCGGATGTTAAGCACAACGCGTAAGAAGCAATGAACGGCGCCGTAAAATAGTCAGACAAGCCAGTCGCCCAGCCAGCCGCTACTGAGATAACTAAAAACTATGGTACAAAAACGACGAAAGCACAAAATGCGCTATGGCCAACTATGGCATATTAAAGGATCTTTAGTATCGCTTTTTCTCCCCGCTGTTGCTCCGGCTAGCTTGAAATGGCCGCTGCGAAACACGCAACTACGACGCATTTCCCAATTGGGAACAAAAGCGTCGAGGACATGTGCTCGGGAGCGACCAGACAGAATGAATAGTATCATCGTTGAATAATTCTATTTAATAATCCCTATTTTCGACTGGAATTAGCCTGTCAACATAACCTTGCCCTTCAGCCACAATCGACGTTGTTGAAGCTGGGTTTCGACGTAGTAAACTGGCCCAAAAACATAAACACTTATTTAGATTCATAGATACATCTACTGCAGAAACAGTCTGCCGATATACACATATTTCACTATTGAAAGAAGAAAAAAGTCTGTCCTTATCTTTAAAACTAAATAAGCTTACGATTAGATACGGTAGATTAGAGGCTGACGAAGGGGCAAATTAGGTGGTAAGGTAACAATGTGAAAATAACTGGGTACCGCGTTATCGTACATGATTTAAGCTGAATGTAATTATCCACGTAGGCTTTAATTTCATATTATATAGAAACGTTCGCGGCCAGAGGCTGCATCGGCGAGATACGATGACTAGTGTACTAGATACACAGATACACAAAACTAAAGATATGTATATACGATACATCTATAATCTGCTAATACGATAGCTTCTATGACACAATAGTTATGGAGATAAGTATCGGACGGGCATCTAGGAGAGACTGAGTAAACACGCAACCAAAAACAGACCACCGACCGTATAACGTTAGAGCGATAGAGCGCCGCTCGATATGGCGAAAGGCTTTATAAATGACTCGTCGGTCATCAGGTTGTTTACTAAAACAGTCTACCCAAGTCGACCTGAGGTAAGCGAAGAATACAAGATGTCTTTGGGCAATACATACTGCAGTATAACCGCTAATTTTGAATGAAGAACATCAATTAGAGGGAGTTTTATCATTTAGCATGTGTGATCTTATAAAGATGTTAATATATTTGTCTCAACTATACGAGCGAAACTCAACTTTATCACGTCCTTCTTTTTTGCCTTTGCCCAGACTCTTCTCGACAACATCAACAACAACAACAACAGTAGTAAAAAAAAAAGCCGAGCTTTACCCAAAACGTACTTCGCCACTGGGAGGCCACATGAAGGAGGCCAATGGACTTCAGATATTCCTAATTTCTATGTAGAGGAAAAATAGACTCAAGAGCGGTTTTAGTTCAGACAAATATGTCTTACGGGATGACCTCCAAGCAGAAAATTGGTCAAATCAAGCCTGTAGGACATGAGGGTCGGAGCAACTGCAACGATCACGTGGTTAAAGCAAAAGGCGAAGGTGTAACGAAGCATCACCGCTTGTCCATCTTATAGTCTTCATTATGACGCTTTGAAGAACTCAACATTGATTGAGTCCTACCTATAGTTAACAGACTGTTAAATACATGTACTAACGTCACCTATATTAATCAGTTATCAATGTTTAAACAAGTTCTTTTGTAATAATGAAACAGGTGGAGGTAATACTCAACTTCTTGTATGCTGAAGAATGAAATGAGAAATTCTGCGAGGAAAATTTGTGATGAACGAATTCCCGTATAGAACTCATACGACTGTGCCATGACCGTTGTATATTATAGTAAGAGCGAAAATGGGGTAATACGAATCATTTATGCAGATACTATAAACCCTTTACGCACCTTTTGTGATAGATACATAGACACGGTAATCGGGCGATGGTTTGGCCAGCAGCAAACTCCTCAAGGCAGATGACACATTCGGAATCGGGTCGAGCTTCAGTTAAGAGTTCCTCATTATATGCTAGCGATGGCTTTGTAAGACAGAGGACGAGATGAAGTTCACAGTCGTGAGGTAACACCACTCGGGAGCACACGGGACATCGGATCCCTGCGAGACAAAACGAGAGACGTTAAATGATTTTTCGGTGGATATCATTAAACTGAGAGTAACTTTGGACCGACTATACATAATTAGTCCTTTTTTTGTTTTATATTTGATTTAATCAAGTAGCATAAATTTTCTTATATCTAATGTTGACCCTTTAACTCTATGCTTCAACCTGGCTCCCTCGCCCTTTAAAAGTAAAAATAACAATAATAATGTGTTATTATGTTTCTATATGACAAAACTAAACCACCTCTATTGTGAAATGGAACGTACTAACAGTGACCGGACACGGTCGATAAGAACTGATTGATGATCAATGGCAGTGACTTACTCTCTGGCACGGGCCATGATGTCTACTACCACAAATGTTTAGCAAGTATTTACAATAAACAGCAGACAGGTCAATGTCTTTTATCAGCGAATGCGTTAGTTGAAACACATTATGAGCTTTTCAACTATTGTAGAACTTCTGATATCCGTGATTGTTTCAGTACGATGCAATTTAGCTTTGTTGTAAAAGCGTTGAAACGAAATGAACAATTGGCAGTAACTAGTATTAGACTACGTTTAAGAATACAGTTTTCGATTTAAAATCATCCACCAGTCATAAACGTTTCCTTTGATAGTTTCCGAGTTAGATCTTTACGATTACGTTTTTTTGGGCCATCCTTTTCACCATTATCGTAATACCAGTATCGTCAACGTCAAATTAAATCCGCCCAGACGATCCAAACCCTCCTAACGAGCCCAACTTCGATGGAGAAAATTAAGCATTGATGTATAATTTAGACGGTGTAATTTTCACACGGCGGGATATAGATAATGGAACGCAGTCGCCCAGCAGTAGTGCCCCGGAACTGTTTTCAAAAGGTGATAGCCCAGCTAAACAAATTGCTCAAAAAAAAACGTTGGTTCCACAAAACAATAGCTGAATTTGTTGACAAAATAGGCTGCTGCGGGGGCAGGCTTTCTATGTACCCTGTACGCTTATCTAAGAATTTCACTAGAGAATCAAGTACACGTAAAGCTCGAACAATATCTTTTCCAGCTAATGACTTCACAGCGGAGGGCAGATGTTGCGTCCGCACGGATAAGGAGTGAGTCTTGCCTTGAGGTCAATTTTACAAATTAAATTTTAAGATACACTTACTTGATCGACTGCGATTTTTAACAGAGGGGGCATATACAGCTCTCGGAAACAATCGAGGCAGCAATCACTGTGGTAACGTATGTTACATAGCTGAATACCATATACCGACTGTGTTGTACACAGGAGAGTCATGTCTTGAGACCCCAATCGACCGAAAGGTTCGAATTGCTAGAACAATCACGAACCGACCTGCCTCTATCGGTTTCTTGACATATATTACGTTCATCTTTCAAGATACAGTACGTTCTATATCAAACTAGGTTAGATAAAAGAGCTAACGGAATTGAGCAAAAATAAACTAACAAATCTTCGGTTGTTTGAAAGACCTCTATACCCATCACTTGACAATAAATTGCGTGTCGGCTTTACCACGCAACTGTTTGTCTTTTCGAACTATCAATCTACGTACAACCACAGAGCTTTGCATTTCTTTTAACACTGCACAGTAAGTTAAAGAAACTATGGCGACAAGCAGTAAAAGAGAGTAAAAAAAAAATTGTAATAAGTATGCAGCGTTTGTTGTCATCGACGTGACCTGTTTCAGCGAATTACGCGTACTATTAACACGCTATAGTGATAATCACCGAGATATGAGCGACTCTCGTTTATAGATGGTCTAACTTCAATAAATCCCAGGCCAAACTTAATAGCTAGCAGATACCAATACAATTCGCCTTATAGTCATTAATGAATCGAGCTTTCTAGTGGTAATTTCATCCCGTAACATCAGGTAACCATACCATCGTTTCCACCTTCATTCTCATATAAGATCATTTTATGCACTGTCAATTTTCCGCCGCAGTAACCTGAAAGATTGACCCCGCAAGGAGTGTACTGGCTTCCTAGAAAGACATTTTACCAAAAATTTGGTTAAATAGTCGATGATGCCACGATCTAGGCTTCTACGCCGCCATCTTGCCGTGTCATTGGCATCCACCCTTGGGTGTTGCACAGAGCCGGGACAAAAGCAACAACTTGTGTTCGTAGCTTACATCAGCCGTTCTAGTTTGGTGTTCTCTGTAGTGGTAACGTGCTGGCTAACTAGATTTAGTGCCATGCTAGGTAATCTTTTAAGCAGCAATACTCAAGTGAGCCATAAGCACCGAACGAAAAACTACTATCTATTTCAGCTGACTTACCAGCTTACCGCTTGCCAAGCCGAATCAACGTCAGCGAAACATATATATATATATATATATATGTGTCTATCATCTAAGTGGACACTGTTCCATAGATACCAACATGAAAACAAAATTTGCCGAGAAGCGAGCAGATGGCAAAAACAGATACTAAATAATCTGTAGAGGATATATTTTTGCTGACTGAAATGGCTATGTGGGCGCACTGAATAACGTATTGAAAAAGCTATAATGAAGAGATAACTCTGAAATTGTGATGTTAAACACACGCCGTTAGGCGTACGTATCACAAATCATCAGTGTTAATTGTTTAGAACTGTGTGTATTTCCTTACTTGTCCTGTAATATAGGTGTGCCGATGGGGTTTCAACCAGTAAGCCTTCGCTTATTTTAACTAGGGTCGTCTTTCGGTGCGCACACAAGTTGAAACTTTTACAATCTATAAAATCCAAGATTAACGAATCGCCTATATTCAAATATAGTGATACTTATAGACACGCGCTAACTTGCACTAGTCCAGCGCTTTGACTTGTAGGGAATCAATAACGAGAACGTTTACTGAATACGTTCCGTGTTAAACGTAGTGGAATGGGCAGACAAACCTTCCTCATTGCTTCGCCACGAACAATTCTACAACGAATCAAGCCCTGATCTACTCGCAATTGGTTCCATGTTTTATCCGTGTTGTACGCCTGAACGGCCCGAAGCTCGTCTGCACGAAGACGTATATATTTGTCCATTTCCTGCACCTAAATGGTATAAATATACTATAAGAATATTATCAGTATTCAGCATAAGATCTATTATGATTTTACTAGAGCCAGCGAAAACCTAGCTTACATGGTGCTATTTTTTTTTTTTTTTTTTTTCCTAGAAAAGGAATTCGAGCATTGAAAATAAGAATGAGAAACTCCTATTATCCCTTTAAGACATTATTATCGACATTGTCATAATTGTTTTGTGTAGCTTAATATAGCTTACCTAACTCAGGCCAAGCCATGTCAGAGTTCGGGCTCGTTCACCTAATCATAATAAATAGATTTACTCAAAAAGATACTTGACCAAACGGAACAATTATACAGATGAACCCGATTTTCAGCAATAAAACTCTTCATTCGGTTGAACTTGTAGGATTAAAGTTACGCCAATTAATCGGAGCTCGTTTGAGTTGTTCGTATCGTCTATTTCGAACTTCTGATTAAGTTGAAGCGTTTTCATTGAGAGAAAAAGAAGCGAGATTGGAAGAAAAAAAAAATGGATTTTTAAATGTGAAATACATGGACGACTACGGCCATAACTGTATCAACGCTTATTAGACGCTAAGCCCTGCGTATCGTTGTAAAAGTCGGGTAGTCTTAACGGGATGTCGCTGTTTGTATGTATATGTCAATGTATACATATATGTATACTACATGTATTAGTGTATATATAGATACATCAGCTCTGGATAGTAGCTAATAACGTTTCGAATAAGTCGTGCTGCTGCAAGGGTACTCGAGAAGTCCAGGAACGGGACTTATTTGCCGATGGCCTATTCGAAGTCGGCTAAATTGTTAGACTGGCCTTTCTCTGAACTTTTTTCTACGGCACGATGAACAATACAACAATATGAGGGGGCATGTAAACGAACCTGTCGTTTTTTGGATCTAGTTGGCATTTCGGCTGACCAATGAGAAGCCTAATGGGAGGATCCACATAATATGTGTAAATTAGTTATCCGCCACAGAGTATGTAGGTTACGAGACCTACCGCACGTGCCCCATGTCTTCTGTGATAATGCCTAAGAAACCTTCGACCCAGATGCTGTAGGGTCTGCCAACCCTTGGGTTGTAAGAAACTAACTTAGAGGAAAACAACCGTCATGACGATTTTCACGACGATTGATGAGAGTACTTGTGGTAATAAATATTATTTTGCTTTATACCTTCGTCGCAGTAATTCCAGCATAAGCGTTCCTAACGAGTAGCTTGATAAAATTCTAGGACCATATGAATATCAAATTCTATTTACCATCTAAACAAAGAGTACAGTTTTCGTTGGCCTGATCTGAAGCTCAGAAATCAGTTGCCGCTATGCCTAACGGGACCATATATGAATACGTATGATTACTTCAGGCACATTGGCCGAAATGGTCCATAGCGTCAGTTGCTGTTTCCGCTTAATATAGCGTTCATTATTTATTTTCGTTTAAAACAAACAGAATGCTTCGGCGGGGAATGGCATAATTTACCGAAACCATCTATCATATTCCAATACGAAACTATTGTACAGGCAGGATCAAAAGAGATATTGGGATCTCAGGGAACATTTCGGGGAGGCTTCGGTTCTAAATGCTAAATCATAGCTACAACAGGAACCGACCTTAGAAAAATAATTTTAATAGATCTATGTACAGCTACTCATTTCTTCAGCATTTTACCCCATTTAGCACCTTGGTATTTATGACGGCTGCCATTTGCTAAATAATAAAGTTAACCTATGTTGACATTTCAAGTTCACTTTTCCATATGATTACAAATACGATCATACTTTACTCACATATACATATATATATATATGTTCAGGAAGTCGCTCATATGGGCCGCCAAAAGAAACGAGCGCTTAAAGAAAATAGAAATGAGTCGATGTTCACACTAGCAGAGTTGTCATTCTATAACGAGCTTAATAAACGACGATATAACAGGTAACAAACGACGATTCTGGATATCATC